ATTAGTTTACCTTTGGTGAATTGAGGTTCTTCTATTTCAATAGCAACAGGAGGTATCCATTCTTCTGGTGGTTTTTTCTTAAGTACTTTAAAAATATTGTGTAATTTTAGAAAATTGGAATGATTTCAATACTAAACAGACTAAAAGAAAAAAGCAACATAGAAATCTCACTATGAATACAACTGGCAATGGACACAAACAGGCACATGTACATGTGTAATGCTAAAAAATTAAAAGCATCTATAAACTACATTTTACTCAACAAGGTAAGAAGTTAAAGACTGAAATTGAAAGAAAGACATTTTTCCAAGTTATAGGAAGCAAATAACCGATGTACCTCTGGGTGGCGGGGCCTCTGCCTTTTTAGGAACAGGGACAGGTACTTTCTCCTCAGGAACAGCTTTCTTACGAACTTCAGGCACTTTAGAAAGAAGAGTTTTAAAAATATTGGTCTCTAGTATTCTGAATATATTTTGTATGTAACATCACAGTATTTCCTTTGTTTAATAATAACAAAAGTGTTTATGTAAGGAAAAACAATAATATACAGAACACACAGTTCTAATGCAAACAATCAGACTATGATTTATAAGAAACTCATATCTTTATTAACAGATACTAAAACCAAGAACTTGAGAAGAGAAGACGTGTGTCATGTCTTTCAAGGTAAGGAAGTATCATTTTAATTAGTAACTGTTTTATACCTTTCGCTGGTGGAGCTTCCTCAATTTTAGGAGCAGCAGGAACTTTTGGTGGTGGGACAACTTTCTTAGGCTTCTCAGGCACTTAAAAAAATATTACAGTGTGTAGTTTAAGAAATAGGAAAGGTATCAAAACAGTAAGGAAACACTTGGTTAGTCAAAAGAGAAGTTTGTAACACACATGTAATAGGGACATACATCAAAAACAACAAAATCAGAAACACTGAGATGCAGAACAACTGACATTTGATATTTAAGAGTTGATGTACCTTTAGCGGGTGGGACTTCCACTTTTTTGGGAACAGGGACAGGTACTTCCTCCTCTATGTAGAAAGGCTCTTCTTCAGTCACTTTAAAGATATTAATGTTAAAGATACAGAATTGATGTATTTGGCATATTTGAACTAGTCCTTGGTTAGTGTATCTATGGAATGCTTGATTTAGGAAATCTAATTCACCCAGTCTCACCTGCACTAGAAGTACTGCCTATCCCCAAAAGAGTAGCAAGATCCAAACTGTGTAGCAATTTACTGATATCTGAGAACCAGGACATACAATAAACACAGGGGGGGTGGCTGTGTGAGCGTCAAGTGGAGTTTTAGATGGAGAGACCAGTTGGTAGATTTGTGTTTGGGATATAGACATTTATGTCAAGCAGTAATCTTTTGTGGTGAGCCAAGTCCTTTCTTATATTATAATCTCTGTTGAATTTGTTTTAGAGAAACATTAGGTGGATGAAGGGAAAGTGGCTAATTTACTGGAAGGTTTGGCTCAGATTTAAAAACATGGTTTTCATTTGTCATATATTTTAAAATCAGTGCTGTCATTTTCTAAGAACTCTGAACAAAAAGATTGGGAAGAAAATCACATCAGGCTAACATTAGCTTCTTTTTTATGATGCCTCCTCCTTTTGGACACAATCCTGCAAGTGCTGAGCTACTGTAGGTATGAAGTGCCCTCAAAGACTGATCCAAGTCCCTCTGAAGTCAATGGAGTCACTGTCAGTGACTTAAGTGGGAGATGGCTCAGGCCTGAACACTCAATACCGCTAGGAGATGCTCAGTGCTTTGCAGGGCTAGATCTAATGCCCACTGAAGCTAGTTGAAAGTTTCTCATTGAACTCAGTGAGACACTAGGAACACATAAATCTCACTGGAAATTGTCATCTTGAGAATTCACCCGGGTACAGGTAGATTCAACATGTCACGTGCAGAGGGAATTCAGGCAATGGCTTTGTGCTCGCTGCTCTTTGCAGTGTTAAGTTACCTGTGTTACATATCCACCAGTATATTTTTAAAGGTTACAGGTGTCTCTGTAAGTTTGCTCATTCTCACAAAACAACAAGCAAACAAGAATTTAAGTTAACAGAGACAACAGAGCAACTTAAACGTTAATGCACCAATAGTGGGATGTATATTTGATTTGCAGAATTTATACTTTTTGGAGAGTAGTAGCATGTTTCCTTTTCTTTTGGGTAAGCTCCCTAGGCACTTCACTTTATATTACTGAGCACTTTTAGTAACAGCAAAGATATTTATAAAAGCATGAAAAGAAAAATGGAAAGAGACATATGCACACAAAAAAGAATGTCTAAAGCATATATACATGACACAGTAAGGACTCTAGAATTTGAATGTAAGATTTTTCAGCACTGCTGGCATTTTCCATTACATGTAATTTAATTACAAAATTTCACACACAGAAAAAACATAAAAGATAGCATTTTAAACACACAAGAAAATGACAGACGTTAAGGACACAAGGCCATCTTTGAAAAAAAAATGCTGATGAGCTGAAAAGACATTGATACTTTTTTTTAAGAAGAGACAATGAGCTTCTGCATATGATTGATGCTCAGTTTATGAAAATTAGTGTACATCCAAAACAATTATGCATTCATAGCAGTTTTGAAGGCACAAGAAATGCAAGAGTCTGACCATTTTACATGATTTTCTGCATTTTTTTGCAGGGCAGAAACCACAATTCTATTTAATTTATGACCAAGAAAGTATAAGCTTTTTTTTTTTTTTTAAATCAAACAATTCACAGGTTCAAGGCCTGCTGGTTCCCACTAATTTCTGATATGTAGAAGCCTCTTGTTTCACCAGAAAGAGCTGATGTACCTTTAGCTGGTGGAGCCGCCACTTTTTTATGGACCGGAATGGGCACTTTCTCTTCTGGCACAGCTTTCTTGGGAACTTCTGGCACTTTAAAGATATTGTTTATTTTTAGAAGTTTTGAATTGCTCACAAGTGGCAAAAATAATCAGGCAACAAAAATACAAACACAGAGGCCTGACATTTGTGTATGCCAAATAAGGAACTTAAAGCATAAACCAGAATCTATATTTTATGCAACATAATTAGGCAGTTCAGGACACAAGACATTAGTAACAGACAAACATCTGTTGCGTGGCTTCAAAAGGCAATGTACCTCTTTTTGGTGGAGCTTCCTCCTTTTCAGTGACAGCTACTTTTTCTTGGGTGATAATTTTCCTTTGCACTTCAGTTACTTTAAAAGTATTAAATGTAGGAATAGTTAATTGTAATATGTGGAATGCACTTTAATAATAAGCAACTAGAAATAAATCTTTTTAATCTTGACTGATTTTTGTTGAAAGAAAATATACATAAAATTTCACTGAATACAAAAATAAGACAGTAAAAGAAGAAACAATTTACAAAAACAATACAAAGGACACAAGTGATAGTCTATACATAGTGAAGATCCAGACAGAAGTTACTGTCACTAAAACACAAAATACCTACATGAAAAACATTTGAAACAAATAAACGAACAAAATGTGTAAGATAAAGAAAAAGATAAAGACGTCTAGAGAATTTTATTTTCATTAGGTTACCTTTGGTGAACTGAGGTTCTTCTATTTCAATAGCAACAGGGGGTTTCCATTCTTCTGGTGGTTTTTTCTTAAGCACTTTAAAAATATTGTGTAGTTTTAGAAAATTGGAATGATTTCAATACCAAAGAAACAGCAACACACAAATCTCAATATGAATACACTGGCAATCGACACAAACAGGCACATGTACTCATTTAATGCTAAAAAAATTAAAAGTATCTAAGCTATATTTTACTGATCAAGGTAAGAAGTTATAGATTGAAATTGAAAGAAAGACATTTTCCATGTTATAGGAAGCAAACAAATGATATACCTTTAGCTGGTGGGGCTTCCACTTTTTTGGGAACAGGGACAGGTACTTCCTCCTCTACATAGAAAGGCTCTTCTTCACTCACTTTAAAGATATTAATGTTAAGAATACAGAATTGACCAATTTGGTATATTTGGTCTATTATTGCATATACTACCTTCACAAGTAATGAAATGATTAAAAAAGAATAACCAACAAACAGTACTGACACCCACAACACATATATTTGCTACTTCGTTTCCAAATTGTTTCCTTGAGAACACTTGTAAACTTTCAGAAAAAGTATGATGTGAAAAAGACAAATGGAGCCCTTGGTTAGTGTATCTATGGAATGCTTGATTTAGGAAATCTAATTCATCCAGTATTCACCTGCACTAGAAGTACTGCCTATGCCCAAAAGATTAGCAAGATCCAAACTGTGTAATAATTTACTGATATCTGAGAACCAGGACATACAATAAACTCTAAGGGTGTGGCTGCTTAAGTGTGAAATGGAGTTTTAAGGAATATTTACAGTGCAAAACCCAAACAAACAAAACCCATAGGAAGGTGTCTCAGAGTTAGGGTCAACGTACATGGGTTCTCACTACAGGGCTTTAAAATAGCAGTGTAGATGTTCCTGCTTGGGCTGGAGCCCAGGCTCAGAAACCAGCGATGGGAGTGGGTCTCAAAGCCTGGGCTCCAACCTGAGCAGAATGTCTACACAGGTATTTTTAGTGCTGTAACCTGACCCTCACAAACCTAAGTCAGTTGACCCAGACTTTGAAACTCACTGCTGCGGTGTTGTTGTTGTTGTTGGGTTTTTTTTGCAGTGTTGATGTATGGTCAGATAGTTTCTAGTTGCAACAGAGGAATGGGCAGACCACCTGGTAGAGTTAGGTTGGGGATGTATGCATTTAGTTCAAGCAGAAATATTTGTGCTCAGCCAAGTCCTTTCTTTTATTACAGCCTCTGCTGAATTTGTTTTAGAGAAATAGTGGCTGGACAAAGGAAAGGTGGCTAATTTACTGGAAGCTCAGATTTCAAAATATAATTTTCATTTGTCATATAATTTAAAATTAGTGTTACCATTTTCTGTGAACTCTTAACAAAAAGACTGGGAAGGAAATTACATCACAATAAGGTTAGATACTTTTTTTAAGGTGCCTCCTGCCTCTGGACATGATCCTGCAAGGTGCTGAGCTACTGTAGGTATGAAGGGCCCTCATAAACTTCCCCAATGTCAATCTCAATGACTTATTTGTGAGCTGGGTCAGTCCAGAACACTCAGCACGTCCAGGAGTTGCTCAGTACTTTGCAGGACCAGATATAATGCCCACCCAAGTCAATTGAAAGTCTCCCATTGACCTCAGTGAGACCCTAGGAACATGTAAATCTCACTGGAATTTGTCATCTTGAGAATTCAGCTGCATACAGGCAGATTCAACATGTCACATTCAGAGGGAATTCAGGCAATGGCTTTGTAATCAATGCCCTCCTGCAGTGTTAAGTTACCTGTGTTACAGATCCACCAGTATATTTTTAAAGGTTACAGGTGTCTCTGTAAGTTTGCTCATTCTCACAAAACAACAAGCAAACATGAATTTAAGTTAACAGAGACAGCAGAGCAACTTAAACTTTAATGCACTAATAGCTGGATGCATATTTGTTTTGCAGAATTTATACTTTTGGAGAGTAGTAGCATGTTTTCTTTTCTTTTGGGTAAGCTCCCTAGGTACTTCAGACATTTTAAATGATTGTGTAGGTTTAGTAACAGCAACGTGAAATCAAGAATGTTCAGTAAAAACGCAAGGCAGAATTCATGGCACATTTACAGCACAGACATACAAAGAACATTATATGTTGTATCTAATGCTATATCCAATGTACCTTTAGCTGGTGGCTTCTTCACTTTTTTAGTAATAGAAATTGGTAATATTTCTTCTATGACTACTCTCTCGGGAACATCAGGCGCTTTAAAGATACAGAATATTTACATTTAAGAACTTTAAAAAACAATGTACAGAAGCATAAATACTAGAGGCAAGAAGTAGAACACTAATACACAATGGTGTAATTCAACAATGCAGAAGAAAGATATATAAAAAAAGCTATCTAACTTATATGTGGCTCACAGATCACCAAGGCAACTGCAGATTGATGAGGTATTATGGAAGCATTAAATCATAATTTAATACAACAATAACAAAAAGACATAACATATCTCAACATATACATATGAGCAGATGCTCTTTGCTGTACCCACTTCTGCCAAAAGTGCATTTCTACACATTCCAAGTCAGAGCTCTGGTACAAAATCCAATCAAATCCTGAGAAAATTCAGCCCCTCTGTGACCTCAGTGACTGCCCCTTTCCATATGAGGAGAGCAGGGTCCTTCACACAAATGTGGCTCTGTGGCTCTCTTTGAGATTCTCCAGTAAATACAGCAAGAGCCCTCTGACAGCCAC